CAGTTCCCCCAAGATTACAGGTACACCTTGCTGACGAGTGCCAAGTAGAACAAAACCCGGGTCCAGGATTTCCTGTTAACTACCTCCAACCACCATCTACCCTTACTTGACTATTTAAAAGAAAAAAGATTGTGGAATGATTGATCTGTTCACTCGTGATATTCATTTTTATGCCATATAGAATAGATGAAATGTGAATGGCCGTAGAATCCAGGACAGACGTTTTGTCCTAGTTGGGACTTGTCAAATGGATGTAGCTGCATCTAAGGATGAAACATGTGTCCTAGTTTTTACAACTACCTAAAGTTCGTTTATTTTATATAATCTTGTTAAACTATGATGATATTAAAGGGAATCTAAACAGGATGTACAAATGCCAACTTAAACTGATCAAAATTCATAATAAAAATTATTGTAAAGTGAATTAATTCTCATTTAATGTTGAAACACTTCAAACTGACGGCTGACGATAATATTAGTGGTTTTTTCTTGTTTGGTTTTTTAAGATCGTTATTATATTATCTAGAAGTAATCACTTGAGGTTCCAGCGGTATGTTAAATCCAGGATTACATTGTTCAAGTATAGGACTTCAAGTCATGGACTACTGGAGTATCCTAAAAGAACAGCATCTTCTGACGTTAAGGAATAAACATCATATAGTGGAACCAGTTGCAAGGATTAGTAAAAACTATTTATTCTCCAGTCTTTCTTACTGCAAATTCAAGACTTAGTCTATAAAAATAAACAAACATATCTGTATTGGTACATTAATTTTGCGATAAACAGTTCTTTGCCTGATATTATTTAAATAAAGAACGTTATGAAATACCCAAAGAATGAAGGAGTAAAATTTCTCATATTCATGTATTCAAGTTCAAAATGTCCTACCTTAAAATAATGAATGTAAAATGTTTTCCACTTGAAATCAGAATGCAACAATAAATTTTTTAATGACTTCATCATCATACCATGGTTAAGTTAAAGTAACTAAGCATAGAGATCAACGCAGGATCACATACAATGTTCAACAATCTCTTCAAATTATAGTATTTAAGTCAACTTCTTGAAATACTGTCTCTTAGTTCTTGTCATTTGATTTCTGACATATTGGGACTTTACATTTTCTTATTTCACTGCTTTGAAGCCTTCTGACGATGATTTATTTCTTACTTTGAATTCTTATTTCTTAAAAGGTTTTCAGCTTGATAATACAATGACTATTCATCATACTGGTTACAACCGATCCATTCAAAACCTGTAACGAATGAATATATGAACGTCAGTTATCTTTGATAAATTAACAAATCAGGTAAGACCATTCATGCGTTTCTTAATAGTTAACTTCACTATTGAATAAAATATCTAAGAAGTTCATTTATGTTAGATGACAAGAAGTTCCATAAAATCTCATGTCACGGACCAGTTGTTGTTATCTGTACAACGACATCAACTGTCTAGAATTTGTTAGTATGAAAAGCATTTCGAAAGCCTTAAACGTTTTTTTTGAAATCGAGACAAATTAAGTAAATCGATCAGAGGTCATGATCACCACTTGTTGTCATCGATACTAAACTATTGATCTTACATATTAAGAATAAACTAATTGATTTACTTCAAATGGTATAAATGAGAGCTTTTGAATACTTTTCAAATAACATATTTGTTTACAGTAAATCACTTGTATTCAGAATTTTTACATTCAGAGTTCCATTCACGTTGAAGAAACTTTTCATGTTGCAAGAATTAGTTTAAGTTGGAAATTGTGGGATATTTTGTTTTTATTTATTACAGGTTGAAATCATGAGTCAGTTGAAGCTAGACCATCATGGAAAACCTGGAAGCACTGGACGGCCGTTTCGTTCTGGTATGGGACTCCTTAGCAGTGCGCATCCACGATCCCGCACCACGCGGGGCTCGAACCCAGGACCTGCTGGCTTCACGCGCGAGCACTTAACCACTAGACCACTGAGCAGTGGATGCGCACTGCTGAGGAGTCCCATACCAGGACGAAACGGCCGTCCAGTGCTTCCAGGTTTTCAATGGTGGTCTAGCTTCAACTGACTCATGATTCCAACCTGTGAAATTTCTAAAACTCTCCACAAAACCCATTCTGATTTTATTTATTAATTGAACATTGTTTTCTGGTTATCATCAAAAGACAAGAAGTTCTTAGATTGAATTTCATTTAGATCAGTACTAGTGTAGTGAACAAGAACACCAGTGGAGACAATAGAACGTACTTAACACAAAATTACAGGACTTGTTAATAAAATCTAACAATCAGAAAGTAAATGCTTAATTTGCAAAATGTCCACCAATTGTCTCAAAATGACTCAGACTTCATTGTTCTTTCATTTTCATAAAAATTGCATTCTGTTTCCATTCTTAACTGTTTGATCCTCTTGTCTCTCTGTTGACAGACCTTCTGTTCATGACTAACATCATATACTACTCATATCAATATAAGTAGCACACATCACACTAGTGTTAAGTTAACAAAAACTGTTTACATCTTCATGAACCAATTAAATGAAAAAAATAATCAATGTACTGAATCTAAATTTTGAAAGTTTTTCTATCTCCGATTCATGTTTATAATATAGAAAGAAAGGAATGATCAGTAAATGAATGGACCTTAAAGTTGAGGAAACTTGTCTTCTATATAATATGTATGTTATTAGGTTGGTAAAATGTTAGATAGCAGTTATTATTAGGGTAGATTGAGGTAAACTACTTGTCTAATCTAGTTCTGTAAATGAAATTGAAATATAATCACTCTGCGCTCAATCTCGATATTATATGTTTTAAGACAGGTAGTCTTGGATCTAGCTTCCGTGCTAGTTAGTACTCTTCAGTAAACATTTATCGGCACTGTGGAGCGAAGCTGATATTACATTTTGCATATTGATAAATGTAAACACCTTGATCGTACAGAAAGTCACTTTTGCTTGAATGGCACTACTATCGACTATGAAGCTGATCACCTCAAGTTAAAATCTTACTGAAAGTATTAATTTCTTCAGAATTTCAGGCACGACCAGCTGACAATTGTCAACTAAAATTAAAGTTTGGTCCAATGTTTACAACAGTTGTATATAATCGCTCAAATTAGACATAAACTGTATAATTTGATTGCGATAGATTCAGAGATCAACACTACATGCAAAACGTTATTTGTCAGTTAGTATAATACCATCAAAATAATCCAGGTTGATATTCGATCATTATCTTATTTTTCAAATATTCTTCCAGTTGGAAAAATAACTGTTCATCAACTGAGAGTATTCACATTTTCATAATTATTAGTAGCTAAACACTCAACTGATTCCCCCTATTGCTATCTTAATCGGCACTTAGAAATTCACACTACTTATTTCGTTTCAACATTCATAAGTTGGAATTATGTCATTCATTATTGTTCATCAAACCATATCCATAAACATCACTAGATACACTTAATAAGAATGAGAGATCATGAATGAGCACTACTGAGGAGTCTTATACTAGGACGAAACGGCTATTTAGTGCTTCCAGGATTTCAATGGTGGTCTAATATCGATCAGCTCATCACTTCAATTAAAACTCAACGACCTCCAAAACCCTATACTGACGAATTTTTGTTTAATGTTCGTAAGTTCTATGCTCTTATGAAGCACGTCATGTCGTTCGAAGGTCATAATCATGAATACCTTTCATCATGGCTGGGCAAAGAGGCTGTGAACACGGCAACCATCTCAATATTAGCTTATTTAATGCAAGCTGATCATAATCAAGAATTTTTAATAATTCATGGGGTTGGTAAACCTCTACCCAAGTCAGTCAAACTAAAACGTTCTCTGAACGGAGCAAACAGAAACCATTCAGATTAAAGAACATGACTAACATGTTCTAAAGAAATATGTTTAATCTCTTACCTTAAGGCCACTAAATCAGTGGTAATATTAACTATGAAATAGCCTTATTTGACTAATACACGTAGGAACCTTTCCGCGTATGTATTTTCAAAAAATGAAATTTAAATATCATTGTCGGTGTTAAAATTATCATTGTTTCAACATCTCTGTTGATGCTTCGTTAACACGAATGAAATGGCTCAAAATCGTTTGCAATGGCACGGGTGCATCCACTCTTTGAGTTCTCCCAAATTCTAATCTCCTAAATCCTCCTTGTCTCTTTTTATCTCTTTCCAAATTTATTTCACTGGATTATACTCTTTAAATAACATCTCCAAACCCCAATCTTTCCGATTACTGCTTATACTCTTACTACCTCTACCACTACAGGACTTGAATTGACAACTGCATCTCTGTGCTAATGTGGTATGGCAACTCGAACTGATGTACGTAAGTACGAAGTTCTACGTTGTTACTGACTGGCTGACATTGTTTTCATGGATTTTATATCACAAACTAATATTAATTAGATGACCATTAAAAAACTGTAAGGATTGTACACCCGTATTACGCACAAGACCAAAGGTCTTGAATACGGTTTCCGATGCCCTTACTCAAAAGCCTAAAATTAAGACAAAACGGTTGTTCAGTGCTTCTAATTATTAAATGATGGTCGAACTAAGTTCAATTTGTAATAGAAAATCCACGAAAATTCTATGAACTCATAAAAGCCTGTACTGGTAATTTTACCATTATTGTAGTGAACGAGAACACAAGTGGAGATAATGAAATGTATTTGAACACAATATTACAGAACATTTTAGTAAAATCTGTGATCCATATAGTAAATACTTAATTTTCAAACTGTCAATCAATTATTTCAAACTTGACTGTTCCTTCTGCAAAATGTCAATCAATTGTCTCGAACTTCATTGTTCTTTCGTTCCCATATCAATCATTCTTTACTCTCGTCCTCTTTTCTTCCGATCTTCTTAACTATCTACCTATAGACATTTCATTTTTGATTAACGATATATACTACTTATATCAGCCGGTATCATTAGCACATACCATACTGCTACAATAGTGAACAAGAACATCAGTAGGGACAATCGAATATATTTGACACGAAATTACAGAGTATCTCAATAAAATCTAAGAACTATATAGCAAATAGTTAATTTGCAAAATATTAATCCATCGTCTCAAACTTCATTGTTCTTTTTGCAAATATCAGTCCATTGTCTCGGATTTCATTGTTCGTACATTTTCATACTAATTGCGCTCCGTCCCCGTTTTCTTTCCTTATCGATCTTCTACTGAAATACATTCTATACCCAACCACCGTTATATACTACTTATACGGATATAAGTAAGCGACATCATACTATAATGTTTTGTTTATTAAAATGCTTAGTTCAAATCACAATTTATAATATATATTTATTCAAAAACAGTTAACAATATTAAACTAACTTCACATCACATGTATAAAGATTTTCATGATATTCAATTCATTTCAATATGACCATTAACAAGGTTAGTATAAAATTATCCAATCTCATTCAGTGATTTCTATGACAATGAGTGTATTGGCTACATCATTATTATTCTATGCCATAAATATGAAATCATGTTAGTGTAATACATTACAACTTTATGATAAAACAAATTATGAACAAATTCTTTTATCATATACCATTTATATTGATCTATTATATCATTAAAATCAATTGTAATATCAATTCAAAATCAATAAATCAATCAATTATTTATGAACCGAATTGGAATTCATTAGATAAACGTCCATTACCAAATTGGTATGATGAAGCTAAAATTGGTATATTTATACATTGGGGTGTATTTTCTGTACCTAGTTATAGGTAAGTAATTCATGGAAATTATTATAAACATTCAATAATGAAAGGATTTATATATTTAGTTTAGTTTAGATCAAACTTATTTTAATGTATCTATGTTGATAATGAATTACTATTATAGAGTTGAAGATATTATAATGTGTTGTGGATGGTAATTTCATAGCTAATTCAACCAGGTCTATTGTGAGATATCAGCTCAGTGAAGACAATGGTGTATGGTGGCGCAATTTCATGGATGGGTTGAAGTTAGACATTAACAACGTTTGATGACGGCTCAATGGTCTAATGGTTAAGCCCTCGTGCGCGAGACTGATAGGTCCAAGGTACGAATCTTGCGGGGGGCTGGATTGTGGATGAGCATTGCTGAGAAGTTCCATACTAGGGCGAAAAGGCCATTTAGTGCTTTCAGGTTTTCCCTGGTGGTCTAGCTTCAATTGACTCATGATTTAAACTAGTGTAATTTTTATACATTTAGAAGTAGTATGGAATTTAGTTATGCCGATAATGGTGCTGTGAAAAAAGGTAGCTATGAGTAGTGTTATGTCTGTATGGCCTGTTAATATATTACGTGACTATATCGCCAATAAAAACACCAATTTGTAGGAGCAGACCAATGATGCACTAACCAGTATGAGCAGCCTAGAGTCAACTCTGAGTTTTTATTGGTTCCTCTGGCCTAGACGTTCCCGTTTGAGTCTAGAACACCAATATCAGCCTACGATATATGAATCATGTAAATCAAACATAAGCAATACATATACAAGCAAATCAGACTGCATCATACCAGAGAATAGAAAATAACATTTATATACTAGATCAAGTCGAAAGTGGCTGTGAGTGTGAGATATTGTAACTAAGAAATTAAGAATAACTTAAATCCAGTAAATCGTATATTAGTAGTGAAATGGTCAAACGGAAGCTTATGATAAAAAAAATATGAAGATACATATAACATAGTTACTTAATTGTTTTCCAATAAGAATATATACATATATAACAACAGTCTATAAATGGATCCTAGCAGTTACCACTCATCTATTCTTCGTCTATATATAACAAATAGAACAGTTAAAAGACATTTCTTTAAAAAGTTCTTTTTATATTATATCGGGAGAAAAAATATGAATGAGTTCTCATTAATCTACCGATAAGAAATGTCATGTGTACAGTTCCCTTTATTATCTTGAAAACAAAAATAAAATTTTGGACAGTAGAATAACATGTACTAATCGTATATATAGTTAGGTTCATCTCAATCGGTTGAAGATGAATATGCTAATCAGGTTGGTTGAAAGTTGTTATGAACATGTATCGACATTGTATATCATCTTTAGACCACTGAGCCGGCATCCGACAGTGTTATTTTCTAACTTCAATCGATCCACGATCGTGTGCAATTCTTCATCTATCATCTGAGGTGGATAAATGTTTCTACCCGACAAGAATTGGACTCCACTGGTCGCGGCTTCTCATTAGAACTCCAGGAAACTCGTCTTGAGCACATGATTATTATCAGTATGTTTCAATAGTGGTCTAGCTTAGATTGGTTCGTGAATCCAATTGTGAAAATATTCATAAGTTCTAACTAATATATCTTCATACAAACTCTAAACTAGCGTAAAATGTTTCTGTAAATGTAATATGAACTATGTCTAACAGTAATTTTCCAATAAACAATAATTTTTAGTATAAGGGATCGTTGAGACCTTTGGACTTTATAGTTTTTGATTACGAATTGTCTTTAGTCAGGCAGCTATTGAATTGATGACGTATGACAGTGGTGTAATATCGATAACGGATTGAAGGTAGAAATATGAACAATAGGATGGCAAGACAGAGGTTTAAACGATCGGTGCTTCTCATGATGATGGAATGTCTTTAGTTAGATTCTTAATAAGGTCGTGGATCATGTTTTGTGGAACAGGTTATATGATACTAGCTACTAAAGGATGCCCGATTATTGCAACTATTTTATTCAAACTAACCTTTTTACTATGAAACATATCAATGGAAGTTATCCGTTTATTGTAATATCTAGTAAGAAAAGTACCATGGACTCATTCAGATTAAAATACTGTGTAAACTTTCTTGATTTATTTGGTAGTGTACACTTTTAAGTTAAATAATTCGTGCATAATTCAATAGTGACTAACATCGTTGAATTATAAATCAGTCTAATTATGTCTTTTAGTCTTCCAAAAATATTCTATGGAAGTGAAGAATCCACACCTAGAAGATGGTGAGAATATTTCTTCAAGCTAGTTATCATTATTAAATTACTCTTCAATTAAGCGTAATGATAGGTCTTTGAATTGTAGACTTAGTGAGTGGAATTTGAAATGTATGTCATATCTGGTGTAGACTGTAAATCACAGTGAATTTCTCAGTTTTTAAATTAAAGTTTTATACATATTTTAGACAAGAAGTCACTTAACTTTAATAAATTCAAAAAACACTTAATTATTTAACTGAAGGGTTCAACTGAGCATTCAATAATGGTGCATTCATGAATCTGTAGTACTGGTCACTTAACTTCGCCTGGAACCCCTCTGAGGCTACTGCCGACCCCAAGCCCGGATGAAGGAGGAGGGTTGGGCATGGGGTTAGCAACCTCATCCCGTATTTGTTTATTTGTTCGAATACATAACTATTGGTACTTATGGAGAATAAAATAACTATGCGCTATTTAATGAAAAAGTGCGATTATGAAGAGGTAGATGAAGGAAGGGGAGTATAATAAAAAGCAATAAATGAATAAAAACAAGTGAAGGACAGTAACGAATTATGGAAGAAGCAGTCCACAAACAGAAAGAATCTTATCAACAACAATAACTTTCTGCTGACTTATATGACTTATATGAAGAAAATTACATCAGGATATCTACTGGCTTCTATCCTGAATCATGTCTGATACCTCTTCAGGCTATTGTGCTGCACTATCTTTAGGACCTCAACCAGATAGTCTTGAAGGACCAACAGATACCAGTTCTATAAAGTTTTCTTTCATACTATGACGGCATTTCATATATTGACCACCTCTCCTCTTTTACCAACTAGTTCTAGGGTTGAGATGTAATGTATAATGTTCATTCGTAGCATATATCTGAGTTATCGAAGCTGATATTTCTAGATGGTGACATTAATTAGATTAACATGACTGCCAAATCTCTGGTTTACTAACACAGTTTATTTTTGTAGAAAAGATAAAACAGTCATTCAATATTCATTCCTTTCATTTTGAATAATGCTTTACTTCATATCAGCTGATTATTGATTAACACAGTCATAACTTGACAATATCATTTTAATCTATAACTACTACGTCTAGGAACTTAATTATTGATTTGATTATTATTATTTATTGATTATTTAATCTTATAATAAATATTCTGGTGTATTTGTAATTTTATCAATCTTAATTCCATAACAATTTTGGTTTCAATAAATTCACTGGAGTGTATGAGTGTTTATGAATCACTTAAAAAGATAATTGTTTGCATGTATGTCACTTAACCAGTATACTATTAAATAATATAAGTTTGATGTAACTCTTTGTAACCTTATTACTATTTATATACAAAGATGGATAGTAGCTAGTAGCGGAATTCAAGACGCGCATTTCGTCCTGTTTGGGGCTCGTCAGATGGATGTATCTGTATCTCAGAGTTGATGTTCACTGTGGGATTCGAACTCAGTATCGTTCGCTTTAAATGTCATCGCGTTATTCACTTAGCTACTGAGTTATGATAGTCACTCGCTTATGTAATGGGGTGAAGTTGAAATTTATTTTATATTGTTTGTTTGAATCTTCCCATTGATGTTTAGGACTACAAATAGGATGAAACGCGATTCCTGGATTCCTCTGATAGCCACTATCCATCTTCGCATATAATGCTTGTGAATTAAAGCTATATCGAGACAATACGCACAGTACGCGCATATGCCAATAACAGACTGATCAATTTCAGTCTTAAACATCAATGGGAAGATTCAAACAATTAATACCAAGTGAACTTATTAGTATTATTTGAATATGGGGTTTTGAAGACTATTGAATTTTGTAGTCTACATCACTGACTGATATTAATTAGAAAACTATTGCAAGTTAGAAAGTATTGGATAACTTTCTCATCTTGATATTGGGTTCTTCATCAGTAACCATCCAAAATCTCACCAGGGATCAAACACGGGAACTTTATTTCTTGCTATGAAATCCACTTGAGATGAAAACCATGACAACCGGACTTTGTTAAAAGCCCCTAACTGTTAGATGATTGGTTTAACATTTCAAACTTCAGTAATTATAGTACGACTTTTATTCATTATCATGGTTGGTCTTTAGGTGAACTTAAATGACTATGGTTTCTCATTGGAACTCTGGTAATTAGCCTTCAAGGTTGGTTGTTAGTAAGCAGATGATGAGTTATATTAATATAAAGTTATTCAGATTGTAAAATTTATAGTTTCACAATATGAACTGACTAGTTAGACAACTATTAACTTGTTCAACTTAATTATAGATAATTTATTCACTTAAATCTATTCTTCAATATGAAGTAACCGATAGAATATATAAATATAATTCAACCTTTCTGGTTTCAAATATACTGGCAAGTCATTTATTATTCAATAAATATGATAATCTAGAGTCCAACAGACATGTTACCTTGACAACTTAAAACTCTATGTTTATATCAACTTGCAGAATTATTTCAAAAAATCACAACTAAAATTATGTAGATTGGTTGAATTAGTTTTCATGTTACTTATAGTTTTTAATTCCATCCATTAGTAATGAAGGATAGTAATTGTTGATTTTCACAATTGATTGATCACTGGGTGGCGATAAATGTCATGCGTGTCTAGTCCTTATTAGTGCAGATCGAATGCTATCGATCATGTTGCAATATGGCCACCAGTCTAGGTGACTCGACACTGCAGGCACTATATATATTGAGATTAGATGGTGGTTGGAGGTAGTTGACAGGAAACCCTGGACCCGGATTTTGTGCTACTTGGCACTCGTCAGCAAGGTGTACCTGTAATCTTGAGGGAACTGGTGCTCCCTGGCGGATTCAGTCTCATGTCACCCAGCTTCACAGTCAGTGACGTTATCACTGAGCTATCCGAGCTGCGACCGGCCTCCTGTAGGACTGAGATGCAATCACAATTGATTGATCACTGGTTGATTTTCATGATGTTAATTGATACTAAGATGATATAAATATGTAGATTTCCAAATAGCTAAATATAGTCATTTATAAATGATAACAGTTTATTTTGTTAATTGAAATGGTTTTATATTTTACATTAGGTGACCATTTCGATTCAATAATCAAGTGGGTTAAAGAGTCTGAAGAAGCAGAATTAATGAATGTTTAAAAGACTTCTAAGGAATAACAAGTATTCAAAGAATTTAACTATTAAATTTGGCAAAAGTAACGATAAAACACCTAAAGAAACCAAAGTAGACGAAAAAAACGTCTTTTCCATTCAACTTGGACTCAGAGGTGACGATATTGAGGCGACAATAGACAGAAGATTTTAAAAAAATACTGACCAGAACGTATCGTGCAGCTAAGCTGACTGTCACGCATAAAACAATATGTTATTTACTTCAATCAAAATTCATTAAGTAACCCTTTCATGTTACCGATAACTGTTACACGTAACTGTCAAAGCAGTCACATCAGTTGAACAGAATGAAGGGCCTACGTTCGATTCCAAAAAGCCCCAGGTAAATAGGATTAGAGACCTTCATCAGTACTAATGCAAAACATTATTGTGACACAGGTTGATGAACTGAGATCGTTCAGGATCATCAATAGACAACTCAGTATCACTCTTCTCAAATTCACTGGAATCATAGCCATTAAATGCCTCAAGCGGGACTTATGTATACAATATGGTGCAGTTGCAAATCTTTCTTTACCATGGTGACTTTATCATCAGTTTTTTACATTATTCTTAGGATTTTTCTCTCTCTTATTTTGACTATATGGCTTCTTAATTGTCTGATCTCAGCTCATGTTCTTTTAATCAATACAATTTTTTGTTCAACCCCTTCATTACATAATTGAACTATTATTTTATCGCTTTGATCCCTTGTTATTATGTCTGATGATTAAGAATCTGCTATTGCATATTATATTGATTTACAATACTTTTTATATATCTTTGATTTGATTACTGCATCATGACGATACATGGCCAATTTTATTGTTAGAAATATGTAAACTTTATAATAATTTTGATGTCATAGGTTGTAAGTAACTGATGAGAATCTAACGAAATAAAAAATGAATTCATGTTACCCTGCTCAATTCTTCGTTCTTGCTATATTCGAGGGAATGAAGTGTAATAAATATCTTAGCAGTTATACTCCCATGAATGTACTTGGAAGATTTTGTGCCGATTATTTTAACCAGTAGTTGGTTTTCATCATTTACTGGAACCACTAGTGATGCTGGTCAAAATCAGAAAGGAGTAAATGTCTATTTTGTACCAGTATATAGTTTAGTAGCGCATACTTACTATACAACATTAGTTTGAAGTTTGAACATTATGTTCATCAGGTGAGAATTTAAACTTTAACCACGAAGTGAAAAGGCAAAGGTTCACATTTTTAATTCAGTTGAGTTTAGGTAGGAACATTAAGATCATCTAATAACATCAGTGATGCTGGATGCACCCTAGGCATGGTTGAAGACTCCACCTGTTTCATAACACAATTGGATTTTGACGATGTTAAACCATCAATCACTTTAAGCTGGAAATGTAGGACAATTCGTTCAAACCCACTGAACGCACTGCTCGAGCTAAAAGGCCTGGCTTTGAACCTTAGTGGAGTCATGGATTGACGCTGTTGGAGTAACTATTACTCGAAATAATTCACTGTACAGCAGTTTATTGTTCATAATGATTTTCTAACTAAAGTCGGTGAATGATATAAGGTCACACTATGAGTGACATTTGATTGGTTTTCATGGTACTTTTTTCCCTTTTTCTCTCACACTACAGGACTGAATGGTTTTGGTGGATGTGGCAAGGTGACAAAACAATAATGCCTGAAATACCGGAATATATGCGTAAATATTATGAACCAGATTTTGCATATGCTAATTTTGCAAAACAATTTCATGCGGAATTTTTCGAACCTGATAAATGGGCTGATTTATTTCAGAAATCAGGAGCACGTTATGTAGTACTTACTGCGAAACACCATGAAGGTTTTTGTAATTGGCCGTCTATTAGTTCATGGCAATGGAATTCAATGGATATTGGTCCAAATCGTGATTTGGTCGGTGATTTGGCTACATCTATTCGTAAAAGAACTAAATTAAGATTTGGTGTCTATCATTCATTATTTGAATGGTTTAATCCATTATATTTGTACGATAAAGAAAATAACTTTACAACACAAGTGAGTTGATTCATTCTTCTTTTTTTTGTTTTTCATTAAAACTTTATGTATTAAGCAAATGATTCTGGGTTTTTCTTTAGATCTAGCTAAACAATACTGGTCATTTTATGTAAAGTAATAAAATGTTAAGATGATAGAGTTCTATCAAATTCCATTACAATAAAACTACTAGTTTATATTTCATGTGTGGATATTTACAGCATTTACGCGCGAGACCTAATGTCCTGGGTTCTAATCCCACATTGCGGATCGTGAATGCGTACTACTAAAGACCATCATACTAGGACGAAACGGCCATTCAGTGTTTCCAGATTTTCAATGGTGGTCTAATATCGATCAATTCATGATCCTAATCAAACCTTAACAATCTCCACAACCCCCATACGGATATGAGGTTATATTTGTATGTCTAATAATTGGGTAAACGTTTTTTTATATGTATTTAGTGGACTTATTCGAAATAATATATGGTAACATCGTTGACTTTTAGTTCCTACGCACTTCAAAGACAAATTTCTAATCTTGATCACGTCTGAAAAACAAATGTTCTTAAACATACATAGTTCTTCAATTATATTTTTTTACTCAACAATATGCAGTTAAGATTGCGGGATTTACGTAGTGAATTTTGAGAAAACACATACAAATAGTTAATTAAAACTATTGAATTTCAATTTAATCATGTAGATATATGAACTCGCTATGGGACCTATATTTTATATGTTTGGTCGGAAGTAGCGTTTTAACTGCTTACTACTGAGATGTTTCTCATTAAGATGAAATGGCTATATATTAATCTCTAGTTTTTTTTTTCATCGTCACTTGATGTCGATCCAATAGCAGAACTATCTCCAACATGGACGACACGCCATAACTACTTATCTAACTAAACACTTATATGCACCCACTGATTAACTTTGGGGTAAATTCTCAAAATTCTAGTGAAAGGGGATGTTGATTTGTGAATTAAGGCATATTTTGTTACCAATACCATTGGATTATGATTGAGCTATGTATCAGATCAACCAGACTGTCTGATTTCAACCCAGTGATCGGAATTAGTAGTGGCTGGTACTAAGTCAATCCCACATAGGTTATTCTAGCCTCTGAACAAACTAATCTATTAAGTCTTCTGAAGCTATATTTTTATCCTGTCACTTATTAGCTTATTGATTCTGTTTTTTATATGGTTATATATGTGCTAATTACTGATCCTACTCATTATGTGTCTGTAACTTATTTTTGTTCGACCATAAATGTCTAAACATGCTTGATCAAACGGATTTAGCTCACTCGCCTTCTCCGTTGCGTGTCATTTTGTTTTGCTTCACTTACCAATTAAGGATTGTTCAAAATATAGGTATTCAAAAATCCCTTTCTCGTATTTGACTTATTTAATTCCGATAATTATATGCAAGGATTGACGATATGTATGTTCCGACAGTAATCATTTAATAACAATCATTCATATGATCCAAATGGAATTAGATATTCCACTAGAATGTAACGTCCCAGCTGAAAGACTTGAAGGTATTGGGTTCAATCTTGTGTGAGATCTTAGAAATGTACCGATGAGGATTTCCAGAATGAAATAAAATTTATAGGCTAGTATTACAGATTTTTCAATGGTATCGATTCGAGATAGAAAGTATCTTTTATCCAAATGGTATTTAATATGAATTAATCTACAAGTTTATTAAAACAAATATGTTCATGTATCGTGTACACATTTTTATTGATTAATTATTATTCTGTGTCATCTCAGTTATATAGTTATATAGTCATATTCAATGTAATTAATATTCATATTGGGTAAAATCAATAGATTTATAGAAAGCAGAATACCTTATTGATGTGCATAGATAAGAATAGATGTATAAGAAATTCAATGAAATCAACTGAAATTTATTGAAACTATTTCAATGGTTGAGATCATGAGTCAATTGAAACTAGACCACCGTAGAAAACCTGGAATCACTGGACGGCCGTTTCATCCTATTGTGGGACTCCTCAGCATTTGTTAACATTGAATTTGGAACGTATTGATTTTATCATCTCAGCAATTTTAGTTACTAAGTAGTCATGTTTTATTCTTCTATTATAATAATTTATTAGGGCAACAAATGATTTTTTAAGGTAACTTGTATATGGATAACATTTAAATACTTAACCGAAATTAATTCTCAGGTAAAACTGGGTTTAGTTGTACGCAGTCATACCAATGAGATTGAAAGTTGAACCAAATGTATCTGTGAAACAAAGTGAATTGATTAATATTTTAAAACTGTGTTTCTCTATTCATGTGCCTGTCTACCAAGTTTAGTGAGATAAGAGGTTAAAATATGCAACAGTCGATAGTATGCAAACAGATAAATAAAATTTAATTCATTCTTAATAGTTATAAAGAAATTTGAATACCTATGGTAATTGTATAGATGAATGTGTGACCCAAATGCTGAATGATTTATATCAACTGTTCACATGTAATAGGACTTTGTGGAAACTGATAACGCTGCCGAAATTCCGGACGTTTAACATTCATAAATGTTTTTTTAGTTCTAAATACTTTAGACCATTGATTGATCACTGACCAGTGACGAGTGTTATATATATTATACAGTTTCATAATCTAAGGTGTTATTACAATACTATTCAGGCCGCGGCTAACTTCTTATGGGTTACTATAAGGTACACTGTTTGTTCACTGAATAGTGGCTAATATCATTTTTGTTTTGTCCTTTAGTATTGATCGAATTCTACCTATCAAGTTGATATGTGGCCACTAAACTTAATAAATCGACATCGCGAGTAATATATTGAAGGGTCAGGTATTTTGAGGTAATCAGCAGTACTAGACAAATATGAACTCAGTAAGCAATCAGTTGCCAATATATCGGCCATAGAAAGGGTCACCCACCACGATGACTAGGTCAGTGGTAATTTCTTAGATTGTAAAACTGAGTGAAAAAAGTTTGGATCCACTAGGAAATATCAGTCCCAACCAAATTCCCAGTTTGCTTTATTGATATGTAACAGCTATCACGAAATCTACGTTTGGAATTTCTAATTTACTACCTTCAAACACAAGACACAAATAATTTCTAATATTTACTTCATAAATTATAACCCTATCTATATTGTCTGAATTTATAGACATTTGTTGAACAAAAAACATTGCCAGAATTATATGATTTAGTATTACGTTATAAACCAGAAGTGATTTGGTCTGATGGTGATGCTGGTCCAGATACTTATTGGAATTCAACACAATTTCTTGCTTGGTTATATAATGAATCACCTGTAAAAGATACAGTTGTTACAAATGATCGTTGGGGTAATGGTTGCCCATGTAAACATGGAGGTTACTATTCATGTGATGATCGTTATCATCCTGGTAAATTAGTGAGACATAAATGGGAAAATTGTATGACATTAGATTGTTGTTCATGGGGATTTAGAAGAGAAATAACTTTAGATAAAATATTAACACCAGAAGTAAGTGAAAATTTTTCCTAAAATTGTTTGTTTTTTTCAATTTATTCAGTAAAATGTGACACTGGTACCAAACACTCATGAATTGAAAAAAGAATTTAATCTAGAATCTTCATGTAAAGCCTTATTTAAGTTCAAGTAATTGACAATATTTAGTGAGAGTTGTCGTGTTCCTATAAAGTTTCAGTAAGAATTTATACTCGATATCACTCGACTACATTTCGAGTAACATAGTTGTCGTCAACAAAAAACAATGAGTGCCATGCCATGTATTTAGTTAATTGTTTGTACATATTGGTAGTTAGTATTGAGAAAAAGGTGTAACATATGGTGTTATCAAGTCATGGAAACCGAAACATAGAATATTGATTAGTGCATAAATTGAAACTAACTTGCCTGAGTTGTTTTAAATCAGTCCATTGATCCTGAGACCAAGCCTTATAACTCAAATAAAAGACATTTTTATGTATTTCTATTAAAATTCAAAATAAAACAAATAAACTGTAGTGGAATACCTTCGAGATATTTCTTTAGGCTTCGTATAACAATCACCCTGATAAATGTTTATAAGTAAATCTCAACAGTGTATGAATCCAGAAGGCAATATGAAGAGCCGATTACAGTTTATTATAGAATAGCTCAGACTATAAAGACACAATTACGTAAAACGAATTTGAATATAAAGGATAGTGAGAGCGAGCGAGTGAGCGAAGTAACACTCACCGAGTGGTTGCGTTACGTAATAAATATATTAGTGTCACATTGATTATAAAATAATATTGAATGACTTGGAGAAAGATAATTATAATGATCAAAGTAATTATTTGAAGAATCAAACAGTTGTTATGTTAAATAGAGCAAGAACAAAGATTGGTGCAGAATAATAAATGGATTCATTTTATTTCGTTAGGTTCTCATCAGCTGCTTACAACCTAAATTATTTGAAATTCAACATTATTACAGATATTGACATACCTATACATAAGAGTGGGATGAAGGATCAATACATGTGGATGATGATGTAGCAAGCAAAGATTCAGATAGAGTTAATGAGCTCATAAAATGTTTGATTCGAATAAATAAATAAAGTTAGAGAGGGAAAGTTCTGGAACATTGAAATAGTGATTAGAACTCATGAAAATAGATTAATGATAATAAAGAAAATATGAATTGAAATCAATCAGTTATGTATGATGTAATTTATATTTCAGAAAGAGTTGCAATAATGATGCAATAAATAAATAAATAGGAGCAAATGAATAGAAAGAGTGGGGGTTATTGTTACCAGGGTAAAGAAAGATTTATTACTATCTCTTTTTGTATACATAGATCTGGTTTTAAACGTTTGATTGCTAACGCTTCAGCGAATTTCAAAAGGTTGGAGTTTGATTGTTTGTTAATCACCTTGAAGGACTTCAGTATATCAACTTCATGTCCTGTATCAAGATGTCTTGCGATAGACACTGTTGAATGTGTTCAATCCATTTAACCTTAAACTTTTCGGAATATGTTCTTTGAATCGGACGTAGGCTCTCCTTTCTGTTCTACCAATGTAACTGCTTTGGCAGGTACATGTAAAAGTTTTGGTTAACTCGTGATTTTTATTGTGGGAAAACAAAACAATAGATCTACGATGAATCTAAATCAAGTTTATAGTTAGAATCATACGGAATACCGTTAAAATTAAATGTTTAGATAATTTAACGTAAGATATATACTAACAAATGATGTCTTTTCCAACGGTGGGGACGGCTTTCAGCGAACTCAAGGAAGCTCTAAAAAGCTCTGAAAGAGCCAAAGAAAATTCCAGAATCTCGACGCGAAGCTTCCAGACTGGACAAACTAATAACCACTGCAACTTGGAGGGTTCAAGAGTTTGAGTGCACTAGTTGTACGCGGTGTAGCAAAAATTCAAGTTCTAAGTATAACATCAACCTTATGATTTTCTCAAATTCCCCAATTTATTCTTTCACACTTTTCAATTTCAAGCAACTTATTTCCGAAGTTATTGAGACTGTTACTTTTGGTGGAAATATTCTCATTAATGTTGGTCCAACTTCATGGGGAACAATTTTACCTATTTATGAAGAACGTTTATTACAATTAGGCGAATGGTTGTCTATAAATGGTGAAGGTATTTACGCCACTCAACCATGGAGAATTCAAAAAGAACTAAATTATGATTTTGTTTGGTAAGTATTTTAATTATGTTCAACAGATTTGATGTAACAGATTGTATAATAGAATATCTTGAGTGTTTATTTATGAATTTACATAGAAGGAAATCTGATCTGGACAATTTCTCATGGGACATGATGGTCTTTCGTTTGAACTTTAAAAGTAACTTGTTGAAAGGATGTTTGGTTTAATCTATAAGGGATTTGTATTGAATAATATTTCGACTTGTTTCTTTTGTAATCAAAAGTTTCGTCGGATTGCTGTACATTTATTCCAGTTGTAGTTTTATGTTCAACATTCGTCAGAGTTAAATGTCCTGAGAAATATACTGAGTATAGAATCATAACTTTCAATAGAGAAAGAACATTGAAGAGATCACAGTTGTTAAGGTTGTAACATTATTCAAAGCATTTTATGAAAATCTTGAAAGACACATTTGGAAGACCTAATCGCTGAAGTATTTAAGTCTCTTTTAATTGAATTTAAAAGCAATTTGTTCAAATCAATGAGCTTTATTTTTTTAGTAATCTTCAGTCCCTTTTGATACTTGATTTGGAATGACAACATTAGATCTTTTCTATATTGTATTATCATTGTGGTATTTTCATTTGATAGTTACATAATCTTGTATTTAAATTGACCGTTTTTCATAAATAAATGTCTTGGTATATCTGTGTATGATCAAATTATTTGAAGTATATTACACAAGTGCACCACGTTTTTCAGATCCTTTTCATCTTTACGCGGCACTTTCAGGAATTAAGAAAGACGGAACGGCTAAATAGTTTTGGCAATATAGCGGATGTCAGTTCATGATGAAAACCTGTAATCTAGTATCTAACCTTGATCATCAACTATCAAACATAATTCTAATTCCTTACACAAGTTTATAGCCCACCTTTGGTTCTAGTTATTAGGTGGACAATCTCAAGGTCAGTCTAAAGTCTCTCAAAGGTCATCCATAAATTATAGTCTTACTACAATAGACAATTTGAATAATGATTATTATTGTAGCCTGAAATGATAATTCTTTATTTCACTAATTGAAATCATGAGTCAATTGAAGCTAGATCAACATGGAAAACCGTTTCACTCTTGTACTCAAATCTCCACAAAACCCCTTCTCAAAATAATCATCTGCTCACTAGTGACTAACTTCAACAGACACTCCTGCAGTTCTGATGAGAAGCAGTGACCAGTGGAGTTCAACCAGGTCTGTTGTGAGATATCAGCTCACTGATGACAATGGTGTAAAATGTCTCGATTTCATGTATTGGTTGAAGTTAGATATTAACACTGTTAGATGCCGGTCGACTCAGTGGTCTAATAATTAGGCACTCGCGTGTGAGACTGATAGGTCCTGTTTTCGAATCTCGTGAATTGGTGGTGCGGATCGTGGATACGCACTACTGAGGAGTTCCATACTAGGACGAAACGTGTGTCCAGTGTTTCCAGGTTTAAGATGGTGGTATAGCTTCAATTGACTCATGATTTCAACTAGTGAAATTTCTAAAAATCTCCACGATACCCATTCTGATAATTCTTTATTTGTATTACTTTTAATTTTAGGTATACTTATAAACCTGCATTGATTGATAAGAATATAAATGAATATATGAAAATTCCATCCCTATATTTATTGAATAGAATATCTTCTGTGAAACAAAATCCTTCTATAGTATATGCACATTTAACAAAGTGGCCAAATAAATATTGTCACAATTTAACAGAAACAATAAATGATCAATCAATACAAACAAGAACATATTGTAAAAGAGAATTACATTTACGATCAATTAATGCTCATCCAAATTTATCTAATTTTACTTTATTAGATGGAAGTTTAACTGGTATTCAATTATCGTATCGAATCATGAATGGTGTAATTATTAATTTACCTGATTTAATTATGAATAATGATAATAGAAATATATTGAAATATGCATGGACAATACGTATGATCAATGTGTTTTGATAAACTAGTGACCTTGATCTATGATATGATTCTTAACAAACAAACAAACAAACAAACAAGCAAACAAACGAGCGAACAAACAAACAAGCAAACAAACAAACAAACGAGCGAACAAACAAACAAGCAAGCAAACAAACAAACAAGCAAACGAACAAACAAACAAGCAAACAAACAAACAAGCAAACAAACGAGCAAACAAACAAACAAAAAGTGTAAACAGTTCACAAATGTTATTTTCAACTGATTTTAGTATTAGGTTAATTGTTTAAAATAATTAAAACTAACAATATTATTAGTAGTATCTCAATGAAAAGAGAAAAATAAAACTGAATTTTTAATATTGTACAACTTTGCGTAAATTGTTTTTGTTTTAGCGGTTAATATAAAATATAATTAACAGAGAATATACGAGGGTAAAGAGGGGTATTTTATGTCAATAATGATCATCATACAATCTGATTAGTGACAGATATAGTTGTGAAGTGTTCAAGATTCAATTTTCTGTGAGATTATAATTTATGAATGAACCAATCAGATTTAACATAACAGGTTTTGAATTTTAGCGCGAAATTAATTCATTCATTTAGCTTTATTTAGTTTTATCAATATAGTTGATATTAGTTCATGATGAAAACCCTATATTTGCATCCTGATCTTAACTATTAACTGTAAATAATAATCGTAATTCTTTACACTGGTTTATAACCTTTATTTAACCGTAGTATGCTGCTGAATATTGTCAGGGTCGCTTTAGCGTCACTCCAGGGTCGTCCATAAATTATAGTCTCACAGTTTTGTTTTAATTTTTTAAAGACTTGTTCATTTAGTATCATTTCTAATATGTAATTTAATTAATTTGATATGATCATAGAAACTATATAATTCATAGACTTTTTGAATTTCTTGTTTCTATGTAAATCGAATAAAAATTTAGAAATTATGCTTCTTTTTTTCTTTAAGTAACAGTTTTTCTGTTTTGTTTTGTTTTTTCTTGTATGTATTGTAAAGTTTGGCTTTTAAGGAAAAAATTCGATCAATATTTTCATTTTTTCACTGAAACCAAGCAGTCAAAAACATGATTTTCTATAGGTTTTTATATCATAGATTAACATTATTTAAACCGGTAGTGTAAGATAAGACGCATTGTATGACAGTTTTGTATTAATATAGAGCACTTGAGTACTGTACACTCACAACCCCACTGTAGGTCGGAACAAAGACCTACTAACATTCAGGTTTGTGATTGTTACGTCCTTGATCTGTCTACCCACTAATATACAGAAGATAGCTTGTCTCAATCTAGATTAAGGCCATGATAATGTGACTGACTGGTTTAACCTTTAGGCTAGTATGCTTAAATTCGAAGTGAGACTAACTGCCTTCGGTAGAGACAAAAACTATTCTATCACGTGATTGTTTGAAAAGCGCGCGCGAGAGAAGACGAGTCAACTGGAATACTACTCGATTTAGTCCTGACTACTATTTATAACTCCGATTCCGTCAGTACAAAAAAATACATAAATAAATAAATAGATGACTAACATGACCACAACGCACAAACAACCTGAAAAACACAGTTATATCCAAAACTGGGGATTAGGATAGCAAATAGACTATGAAAGACTACGTTTAAATTACAATAGCTTCAGAATAGAAAAGGTTATGGCAGTTAATCATAGATCAAACGAAGGCTTATGGTTTGTAGAATAAACTAAGGACGAAACTGAATGTTAGTGTTTAACAAACTTTGAATGAAGTGAAATAACGTCCGCAAAGATAGCTTTCGTTGTTTGTCAAAGCTTCTTTTTACATCTGTCCACATCAGTGATTAATAATCAAAACTGTTAAGCTAGGCTCGAGTGGTATATTCTTCCAAGTTAAATTCAGTCAGGATGTGGCATAGCAGTCATTCTATGAGATTAATGACAACTGTATAAGTACAGATATTTCTGAACTCGGTTGCTGACAACTTTCCCCCAGTATTTCAGGATTAAAAGCTTAGTATTCAGATAGTTAGTAGTATTGGATTCACCAGTTGTTGAAAGTATAGTAAACAACCATAAATTCATAGATTAGATCAGTAAAACAATCAGATTTAATAGAGCGCATTCTGTCATTTAGCTAAAAGAATATTTTTTTTGAAATCTAGCCAATTCGTTATTTAAAATCATCAGTGAGCTATCTTTTTACATTTAATTTAAGAGAACTCAGTATTTTACGCTGCTCACTAAAACACTGGGAGTACCATCATTATACTGTTCACTACTGAGAGCACATCTACGAAGTGATATTGCGTAAATTTATTCCAGTCGAAGTTATACTGTTATTATTACATGGAGAAAACTGTTTTCCAATTACTGTTAAATATAGATAGTTTTTTTAATTGTATACCTGTCTTTAAGTAGTTGCATTTTTTTATCTCTTCACCTGTTACTGATAGTTAGTCGATGATGAAATGATTGATATTTTTTTAGACAAATCATCGTACATTTGTCCGTTGTACCACTGAGATATTGATTAATACAGTTACAGAAATAAGACTGCTAGAGTGATTGAGTTCCCTATAAACTTATCACAACACAGGGCTTCTGTTATGAAAGACCATTCATGAATTTATAAAACCTGACGTAAAAGTAATCTACAAGACAGAAGATGAGTTATTATTATTTTTTCCAAAAAGGACTACTCAGATCTCAGTATAATTGCAGTGAACGAACGATAAGGTGATGGGGAAAGTTAAATTATTATTTTACGCACAATTACATAGTGATTTCGTAAAATGCAAAAAATCATACATTAAATACTTCATTTATACATCTTTAATCAGTCATCTCTTACAAACTTTATCATCCTTACATTCCTGTTGTTATTACATTAACTCTCTGTTTACATTCCTGTTCTGTTCAATTAGATCTTCTCAATCTTGTTTTAACAGGCGTTCCATTCCTAATTAGCGTTACATACTACTTATATTTACAGATATGAGTAACATACACCACATGATGTCAGATCACATCAACTAGCACTAAGTAAATAAAATTATTTAAATTCAAAGAATTTTGTTGATGGATTACTTGATTTAGTATCACTATGGTATACAACAGATATTATTATTATTATTATTATTATTATTATTATTATGGTTGTATCAGTTCAAGAACTTTTTGGTGTTACATTTTTTGACCCATGTAACATTCAGTTTTGGCCTGAATGTTTATTTTCATTCATTTTTAAACGACGTTTCTAATACATAAATATAACATGTTTACACAATAATTATGTAATTGATTATAAAATAGTGTAATATTGTTTCGATGACAATATAATTGAAAACTTGATTAAATCATTATTGAAGGTATAATGAAGTGTTTGGTTCAACAAATCAACTCCGACTGCAGCCCCTCTGGGGCTACCGCTGGTCCGAAGCCCGGATAAAGAAGGAGAGTTGGGCATGGGGTTAACGACCCTATCCCGTAGAAAACTAACTCTCTGATAAAACACTAACCAGTTCAGTCAGTTAATAGGTAGTTTATGAAATAACAATCCTAGTATTTAAACTAATGAACAGTTTACTTATATTTCGATAGGTTCATCAACTTTGAGAGATTTATTTATTTTATCTATTTAAACACATAAACATTGGTATAAGGAGACATCAAGTATATATGCGCCACATATCCTGGGTTGGGATACTGCCTGAGTGCGCAAACCGAAGCAGGTAGTAATAATTGAACAGGATTTGAAGAGTTTACATAATTTAAGAGAATTAAGTAACTGAGAGGAGAATGGGCTCTTAACAGTGCAATATAGCTTGGGATTTACTTGGCACCGGGCATACTATTGATATTCCTCAAGCTTTCAAAATTATTAGCGGATAATAAAATACTTCTTCGGTTTGCTGGGGCGATTGCGATTTAAAAAAATATTCAAACCTGATCTATGTATTTAAAAAGAGACAGTAATAAACTTATTACTACCTTGGTAATTCAATTTTTGGTCATTAGTTTTATTTTATTATTGTTTAGTTTGTTATACTGCTCTTCCTTTACCGAATTCTTATTTTACGTACATTTAAACTACCCCTTCACTCATACATTTCCACTCCCTCAGTTCTCTTAAATTATGTCAACTCTTCAAATATTGTTCACTTATTACGTAACCCATCCTACCAGGGTTTTTTTAATTCCAGAAATCTTGTCCAAACCCTTCATTACCTCTAAAATTATCAAACAATTTATCTTATCTGTCTCTGAACTTCACTTAATTAATACATCACCTACCCCTCATGTTTTCTTATTCTAACACCAAATGACCTATGACCTGTTCTTTCACATATATATATATATACATATATAGTTATTATTGACAACCTTTGTCATTCCAATTCTTTTCATTCACGTATGTCAATTGTTTCACACTATATCTTACCTCAATGTAAAATTTTAACACATATTTGGTTGTAAGCAACTAATGAGAAACCATGAAATATAATGAATTCATATTATTCTGCATCCATGTTCGTTCTGGCTTTATTTGAAGTTATTTATTGTTGATCGTAATACATACGAAAAACAGTAATCAGTGGTTGAGAAGATTTGTAGCTCAGGTAGATGATTTTGATGGAGTTTTGTTCTATGAGCTGGATGGTTTAGTCGTGAAAGCTCCAAGACTAAACCATCCAGCTCAGAGAACAAAACTCTATCAAAAAACAGTAATCAGTATTATACTATTGAGCTTGTAAAATGAAATATTACTCCATTTTACTAATAATTTGGAGTTCTATATGTAATTCTGCCGAGAAATAATGAGATGGTTATGAATAACATCATGAATAATTCCATTGATAACACATTGAGTGACGCAATTTTAAGTCACATAAGCTGCATCAACACCTTTAAGATTACAAATGTATTGCGTTATCAACTACCAGAATGTATGAAGCCTAGATCTAGAACTTCATGCTTGACAACATAATAGATTTGTTGTGTATCCAAAATATA